CGCCCAGGCTGCCCCTTTCCCATGATTGTATCACACACTGCGCCTTCCGTTCGTGGAGGCCCCACATCTAAAAATACTAACAAACTGCTCTGCAAGGTCACTACTCCTTGCATCTCTCTATGAACAGCACTAAAAGCACAGATATCTTCAATTTGGAAATGCAAACTATGCATAGAGCATTGGAAAACGTGGAGCCAAACAAGAGCCACCAAACAAGCAGTTGGGTGCCGGTACATTATTCTGCAGTCTCTTCGACTGCTCAAGCTTTTCTTTAGCGATACTCTCATGTCAAAAAAAAAAAAAAAAAAAGACAGATTACTCCAAGTACATCACTGAATAAAGCCAGAATGTATTTATTACTCTTTTCAAACAGCTGAGCCCTGCAAAAAGAAAAAAAAAATGTCTTGTAATTGCTGACCTCAAGAAAATATTTTATTGTAATTGTTTCTATAAACTTGCACCCATCTTGACCTTATTAGCATTACATCAACAGCAGCATTAGAATCATAACAATAATATAATAGCAGTCAACAGGGCCAGATACTCTCCTGGATGTTTTATGTGTATTAACACATTTAATCATCAAAACTACCCTATGGGGGGGAGGTGAGGGGGTAACTCTATGAGCCAGGTGCTCAAACTAACCCACTGTACAAATGAAGAAATTCAGCACAGAGAGGTTAGTTAACAATCCCAATATCACACAGCTATTAAGTGGTGAGGCCAGGATTTGAACCCAGTCATCTGGCTCCTAAGTCTGAACTCTTGGGCACTATGCTTACTGCCTCTCATAAATCTTCAACGCAGCATCAGGTCACATTAAGTTAAGATCATAGTGTTCCCCCTCTTTGGAAATCATTTAACTGCCTAGCACAGCGATGGCGAACCTTTTGAGCTCGGTGTGTCAGCGTTTTGAAAAACCCTAACTTAACTCTGGTGCCGTGTCACATATAGAAATTTTTTGATATTTGCAACCATAGTAAAACAAAGACTTATATTTTTGATATTTATTTTATATATTTAAATGCCATTTAACAAAGAAAAATCAACCAAAAAAAATGAGTTTGCGTGTCACCTCTGACACGCGTGTCATAGGTTCGCCATCACTGGCCTAGCATATCGCTCAGTTAGACCCATTGCCCTTTTCCTTCCTAAGTATAGCATCTAGGCCTCAGTGATATTTCAGCTCCAGGCCCAGAAAGTTAGCAAACCAGACAAGTGATGTGTGGCTGCCTCAGGACCCCCTGGCCTGGCACCCACCAATCAGTGGAGACCATACCCTGAAAGGGGCACACTTGCAAAGTTGATGAATATTCTACTGAGGCCCTCCCCTAGACCTCCCCTAAGGTTTCCACTTGTGAGAGAGAGGTAAGTACCCCCAAGGCAAAGGTCCCAGCTCTCACTCTCTCCCAGGGAAGCATGCCCCTGCCATTCCCTTCCCCCTTCTTCTCTCTCCAGAGAAGGGACCCCAGAAAACTTGCAACTAGGGGAGCAATGGGCAGCAGCGGCTCATCCGGGGCTCACCCCCTGAGCCTGTCTCTAAGGCCCCCTTTTCTCTGACTTCCCAGTGAGCCAAGGCAGCCCAGCCTAGGCCCTCCTGTGCATCTTTATGCCCTTCCTCATTTCACTCTCCTGAGTGTGTTTTGCTGCAGCCAGTAAATGCTTGCTTTGCTGCACTTTGTCTCTTGACTGCAATCTTTCCCTCAAGAAGACAAGAACCGAGTTTGTGTCGTCTCACTGGTAACCGTGACATCACAGCTTTGTCATGGTTTCTGTGAAATTCAGACCTAAGTCTCAAGTTCAAATACTGTAGTGTCTTTAACTAGAACTGTGCAAAATTTTTGGTAAATATATATTCCCCTTTCCTTTACAACTTAATATGTATACCACTTTTGGTTTTGTTCCATTTTACCTATGTTATTTTTACTAAGGTTTTCATTGTTAAAAGTCTCCAAGGCTATTGGAAAAAAGACCCATTATACAGATTTCATCTTCATCACTAAAAAGAGTCCAAAAGTAATCTACACCAATTCTTGATTCATCAGGGCACGAGACTCCAAGAGTAAGCACCCTTCAAATTTCAATAATGCAGGGGAGGGCAAAAGTAGGTTTACAGCTGTGAGAACACGAAAGTCTGTTCTTGTATTATTATTATTGATTGATTGATTATGGAGTGTTTTTCTCACATGAACAACTGTAAACCTACTTTTGCCCACCCCTGTATGTAGAGAAAGCACATGTCTATGACAAAAAGGAAGGAAAAAGAAAAATAAAGGTGATTCTTCAAGGCCATATTCTTGAAGAAAAAGACCAGAGCAGAGAGATTTGAGGAGAAAATCAGTCTTTAGGAAGCTGGTCATCCACAGACCCCCATAGTCTGCATCTGGGCTCTGCTGGGCACCTACACTGTCCAGAGATGACCTGCAGAGGAGGTGCCTGGTGCTGAGAGGAAACCGGAATTCTAGTCCTGACTCTACCTCTGAGTGCCATCTCTTTATTTCTCTGTGTCTGTTTTCTCATCTGTAAAATAAAGGCATTGGGGGTGGGGGGAGGACACAAATACTATCTGGATCTAATATTTTATGATTTCTGAGATGGAACCTAAGAAATGAAAGAGGTGCCAGTCTAGAGTCACTCCTTCATCCACAAATACTTACAGAATCTCCTAAGGGGTAAGAGGGAAGAGAAAGTAAGACAGTCTGCTGGGAGCAAGAGGAAACTATCAGAATGTCCATTTACAGTTATTTTTACCTTAAGAGGTAAGAAGTGTAACTTATGTCAACACCAGCACCCTTATTTGGGCTCACAAGTTAAATGACCCCTCTGTCATGCGTTCAGTTTATTTATAGTAGAATGTAATCAATGTGGTATAAAAAACAAAACCTTTCATTAGTGAGGTGGGAAGTGACCACAAAAGTATTTTGCACCATACAGAGGCGTTAGTTATGTCATGGCAGAATACATAGGATAATTGCCTTAAGGATGATTAAAACATTTTCCTTTTATATACATACTATTTGTTCTAAATTTCCTGACCTGTGATCACAAGTGGCTGCTAGTAATATGTTACCTGGCAGATTTTTTTTATTTTAATAAGCTTACTTACTCAGGCCCTTCAAGGTAAGATGAGGTTTTAAGAAGTGCAAGAAAATAACTTGCTTTTTGGAAAGAAGCTCATATTGTGGAGAAAGCTATTGTCCTTTTGTAGTTACAGAGAACTTAGAAATAACTTTCTAATCTATTTAAAATTACTGTGTAACACATTTTCTGAGAACTTAACAATATCAGGGAACAGACATTTACCAGAAATTTTAATCAATACTTTTGTATAACTGGTAGACGTTTTGAAATGGGAACTGCTAGTTCATAAATTTAGTCAATAATGTACTTTTAGTCATTCAGATCAATATATCTTTGTGAGGTAACTATTTTTTTTTTTTTTTAGCTATTTTGAAATATAAAGCCAAATAGCAAAATAACCGAATGTAGGACCAGGCTTTCTTTGTTGTTGTTGTTGTTGTTGTTAATCCTCACCTGAGGATATTTTTCCATTGATTTTCAGGGAGAGTGGAAGAGAGGGGGAAAGACAGAGAAAAACATCGATGTGAAACACATTGACTGGTTGCCTCCAGCACAAGCCCCAACCAACAACAAAGGTGCATGCCCTTGACTGGAATCAAACCCAGGACCCGCTGGCCCCCAAGCTGATGCTCTATCCACTGAGCCAAACCGACCAGGACTAGGACCAGTCTTTCAAAGTGCTTTATCCCCAAGTGTTCAGCAAGGATTTTTTAAATGATACAAATTCATCTACACATAGTACATGCATGATATATTTAAATAAAAATTCATGTATGGAGGGCATATGCTCAATAAGAACTTGGATACCTACAGGTAAATCACTGGTAATCACTGCAGTTTATCTTTGTATTTTTCCCAAGCCTGCAAAAAGTAAGCCTACAAAAAGCTTTTGTAATCATTTTTTATTTAATCACCACCTCCAATATAATCAATAATGTTTTTAAATCAAAGGATTTCCTGGATGGCTACCCAAAGAAAAATAATCCCTTTTATCTAGCAACTATAACTAGTTTCAAGCAGAAATTTACAAGTGTTTTCTGCCTCATCAATTCAACATGTGCAAGATTTCTTCCCAACCGTCATACATAAGAACATGCCTTGATTTCCTAGTTATAGAAGTATAATGCATGCTCAATATTTTAAAAAACTGTAAAAGGATATAAATAGAAAGTAAAAAATCATCTATAATCCTCAGAGAGACATGTACTATTTTTAAAACACACAGCTACATATCACAGTCACTTCTCCACAGAACGTCAACTGCCTAAACATGTTTCATGGCCACAAAGGACTTCAGTATACAAATACACTGAATGTTATTTAGTCCAAATATCACACTAACGGATATTTATATTATTTCCAATTTGTTTATTATAAAAGATCTGTATTTGGGTTTTTGTTGCTTATGGAAACACAGGATAAAAGGGACTGCCTTCAGCTGGTGTATCCAACAGATATAAGTAAGTCAAGACGGTTTACCGCAGTGTTTAGGACTACTCCACAGCCATCAGAACAGTCTTTTCTTCTTATAAATACCCAAACTGAAATGAATTCGTAAATAGTCTCTTGTTTTGGAAGTCCAGAAATGGGACTAAATCTGTGCTGAAATAGTATTTGGCCACTCTGGTTAAGTGAAAAACAATTAATTCCATTCAAAATATTACTCTATTCCTGGAGCTTTTTTGAACTCTTGCATAAATTTTTCACATAAGGAAATAAGGTACTTTCTTCAAAACAGAAAGAGCATAAATATTTATATTCATAATTCTAAAAATTCCAATTTAGAAATGAATAAAAAAAACTGCATATATTTTGTTAATACTAACAAATCATACTGGCTATGTTTTCACTAACTTCCCCAAACCTGTTCAGAATGGTCTGTGACTTATAAAATATGAATTAAAGAGAATTCAACAACAAGACAGAATATTTTCTGCTTTTTGTGGCAAACACTAAATATTTAAAAATAATAATAGGGTATAAATAATTCTCTATTAGGTAATCATCCAAGTTAAATATATATTACCATCTTTAATTATAAAAAGCCCTTAATTTTCTACTTAATTCAAGCTTTAAAAAATCAAAATCAATTAAGGTTCAATTTTAAAAGAAATGTGCTATCCAGGGGCCAATTTAAAGCCTGCATCCATCTGAAATAGTAATTTAGGTCTCCTGAAAATTGGCAACTGTAGCTCCCACTGTCACAGTAAAAGACATTCACACGGGTGATACAACTGCGTCTGGATGGCTTTGCTTCATAAGATCTGCCTCTGTCCTTTCACGTGTCTTCAATGTTCTCGGGGGCTTTTCTTCAGCAAAAGAAAAATGTTAATTTTTAATACATAGGTAAGTTAAATATTAAAACAGGGGGGATTTTTATTTTATTATGAAAATACGCAATATACTCACTCACTTCTGCTGAAAATAAAATCACATGGCTTTCTCCGTTTTAAATACCAGTTATCCAAACAGAAAGCAGCCAGGTCGTCACAGTGACTTCCTCCCCTACCTGGCTACAACTTTTCTACCTGGCCCTGCCAGGCTGCAGACTGTCTGTAAAGTCAGCACAGGTGACTGGCATGTTTACAGCAGATAATGCAGAGCGGAGTGGACAGCAGGCAGAATCAAGCTCCAAGTCCACAACAGAACTCCAGAGGGTGAGGGCACTCAGCCTGGGACTCCGGTGGATGTCACATTACATCTTCTGAACAGTTTCATCTGAATTATCCATAGGTCAAGTCAAATGGGAAGTGGTAAGACTGTATAACCAACTGCTCATTCTGGATTAGCAATCCACCCGGCAACATGTACCAAGAGCCAAGTGCTTCCCCAAATAAAAAAATTTTTTCATACAGGGAAATGTTGCTAGCAGCATTATTTACAGTTGCAAAAACCTGGAACCATATAGGCTCAGAGGTTATTAAAACTTCCCTAGACTACTGCACAGTATTTAAAAATATATCATTATGAAGAGTACAGGATATGAGGAAATATACAGAGATGGGGAAATTATAGATAGTATAATCTCAGAAAGACTTTTAAAAAAGATATTGGCAAGATACACACCAAAATATTAATACATATTGTTCCTGAATAAAATGATTATGGTGATTTTTTCATGTATTTGTCACTATTTTTCAAGTTTTTCATACAGGAAATTTACTATGCACACACACACATATATAAATATATACATATACACATCTCTCCTCTGTACTTAGAATTTAAATTTCACTGAAACCATGAATGTTTCTAGTTCATCTAAATAAAAATAAGAAAGAAGTTTCATATAACACAGAATAAAAATATTCACTATGAGCTAACTACTGGGTCAAATCTTCATTGTCATGTTTTAAATTTATGAATATCTGATGTCAAAACTGCAAGATAAAAAAGAAAAGTAAGACAAAGGTATACACTAGCTTTTTCTCAGCTTTATTATTATTATTATTATTATTATTATTATTATTAAAATATCTCTTAACGTTGCTCCTGCCCTCCTACTTTGGCTCAGATGCAAAAAAAAAAAAAAGTGCTTTATGGGTTTATCATAATTGTTTCTGGACAATTCTTTCCATGCCAAAGCATTTGAACTTTTCACCTATGTGCAAGCAGAATCTAATTTATGAATAGGTTGTGTTCCAAATGTTCATTTGTAAGTTGGCTAGTTTCTATGGGGAAACATATTCCAAGTTGGGTTCTATGAGAGAGAGGTCAATTGAAAAGAAGGTTTTTTTCTCAGGTTTCTGGGCATAGAAGGAAGCTAGAGCAAATTTTCAAGAAGATAAAGCCGATTAGTAGCGCAGTGAGACAGGTAATTTGGGAGCATGGAAACTTAAGAAGTCTGGATCAACTTGTGAAAGATATATGAGCAAACCAGACACCTGAGAGTGTGAAGGGGGCGGTGGGGTGGGCAGCATGGTCAGGTAGCAGGAGGGTTACTGAAGAAATTCAAGAGGCCCATAAAGAAATTAAATTTCTGCTTGTTTACCAGTAGATCAATGTCTTCAAATTTTTTAGGAGTATGGATGTCTCAGTCAGCAAGGCTTCTATCACATTTATACCTGGTTACCCCTGGAAACAAAGCAATGACAATGACTGTGTGTTTTGGGGTGAGTTGGGGAATTCCATATAGTTATGCAAAATAAACTGTGTATACAAATGTTTCTATTTATAATATTATATGTAAACTAAGTTCTGAATACATACTAAAACCAGATTTCAAGCAGACACTCAAAACCTATGGAACAACACTTAAAAAATATTAAAAATACATATTTCAGGCTTTAAAATTATGTAATTCCTAATAAATGCAAAATGAACTTTATCTTTAAACATACATTGTGAAGATCACTCAATGAAAAGGAATGATTGTAAGAAATGACTGAGCTCCCAAGTTATACAGACTAGGACAAAACACACAAAGATTGGAGAGACCATGAAATTAGTACTTCCAAGACCAAGCACCTGGCCCCCTGAGTCAAGAGGATGAACCAAGATGAGTGAGCAAGGCACAGACCTGTTGTTGGACCTGGTCTGCTGCCTTTGGCCATGCTGTGTACTGTCCTAGTGTATCCAGCTGCCGTTTCCTGTTCAGTGACATGTTCAAGGAAAATTGTGCCTGGACCAATTTCCACATCATATGTCATCAGTCCCTATTTACCAATCTTGTGTAAACTAATTTGCATTATAGAAGCATGCATGTAGCAGAAAAGACAACATAATCATGCAATTTCTAGAGCAGATTCAAATTTGTAAGGGGACTTTATAAACCACGATTTTTTTCCTTTTATCCAACCTAAACACCACCTGAAGGCTTCCTTAAGGATACCAACGTTTAGGAATCTGACGCGAGAAATTCTGGATGCAGAGCAAAGCAGGGTGGCTGCTAGTACAGAGGGCACCCCTATGCACATCTTAAAATGAGCTCCCTCTGTGCAGGCAAATGACAAAAAGGGTCCACGTTTCTGGCTAACGCAGCCGTCTCCATAGTGAGCTGGTGGCAATACTGATTTCAGTCCCCACCCACCCCTCCTCCCGGCACCTGTGTGCAGGTTATGTGGTATGCCATGTTACACAGGTCATTCTTGAGTTGATTAATATAGAATACCTTTCTCAAAGTTGAGGGTGACCAACAAAACCAACGTGTGTTTATTACAATGACAAACAACAGTAAGCTCTGCATGTTCAGATGTCTCAGCTTACGGATATGATTCTAATCCTAAATAACCAAGCCTGCAGAAAATAAAGCAAACAGAAGCAATTTCAATAGGAATATCTGCAAGAGAAGTATACATACAACCATAAAAATACAAGAGGGGAAGCGTAATGGCACCCGAAGAAAGATCGGCTGGCTCCCTGAAAATGCCGCAGGCCCGTTAACAGGAAACCCTTTCTTCATAAGGGTAGGACCCAGGATGGTCACACCTTCAGGGTAAGGGCAGACCAAATATAAACCATTCCACCCCCAGGAAACTGCTGCTCAAATGTATATTCTGAGGAGGTTCAAAAAAAATTTCAAGCTGCAAGTTTAGTTTAAAAAGGCTTTGGTATATAGCAGCCCTAGCCACCTGAGAACAAACAGTCCTCTCTAGAGAAACACACTTTCACCCTCAGACTCAAAGAATCCTCCCCAAATAACTGTCCAAGGGAAATGAGCAGCTCTCAGCCAAAAATTACCAATAAGTATAGAAATGAGGCCCCATTTAAGAACCAGCAAAAAACATAACACGGTAGAAAGAGACCCATACAGATTTGAGATACTGGAATTATCACTATTCTTACAATGTTTAAAACATCTGAAATTTAACTTCTGAATACTAGAATTTGTAGAGCCATAATGGAAGCCATTAAAAAGTCCAAACGATGTGGAATAAATCAGAAATGACACTGCAGCACGCTCTCCGATGGAATGTCTCTGACTCTTTAGAAGCGCGTCCATAGTCTTCCCATGATTTACTTGGTGACTTTCTACGACAAGCTGTTTCCTCTCTGACCCTTCTCTGCTATAATCACAAGGCAAAGGTCTCGCATGTTGCTGTAAACATAGCTCTTTCTCTGATGTCAGCTCCCAGTTACCCCACACCTCTTATCACCAACTTGCAGCACCGTTTCCCCAACTCTAATGCATTGCACAAGCTGCGCAGCAAAATGCTCTTAAATCCTCAGCTCACTCTTAGCAAAAATAAGTTTCACATGGTGATGACGGGGGGGCTCAGGGTCCACCAGTTGAGCACTCATGGCCTACAGTTCATAGCACCCCAGCTCCATTGACTCACTCAACATTTACTGGGCGCCTACTATGTACCGTTCTAAGTGCAAGGATTAGGCAGCAAATAAGACAGTCTCGGCTGCTGTGGAACGCAACACCCTCGCTGGGGAGATCAACAACAAACATGCAAACAACTCAGTTTCCGAGTGTTAAGTATCACAGAGAAAATAAACGAATAATAGGACAGTGAAGGGACTATTTTAGATGAGGAGGTCAGAAAGGCCATAAAAGGCAACCCTTTTAGCGGAGAGACTAAAATGACAAGCAGGGGCCAGCCACTCCAAAGAGGAAAATAAAGGCAGAAGCTCTGTGGCTGCTCTGAGCGTGGCTTGTTTAAGGAAGAGAAAAAGAAGAAGTCACGAAGAGAGTGGTAAGGGCTGAGGGCAAAGAGGGAAACGGAGGCCAGGCCAGGAAGACCTTGCAAGCCATACTGGCCGTGGAACGGGAAGCCTCTGGAAGGTTCACTGAAGTGACATGATATTTGCATTTCAGAAAGACCATTCTGCCGCCGCTGTAGAGGATTTGGATTGAAACAGGGCAAGGGTGATAACAGGGAGACCTACAGGCTACTGCTGAGTTCTAGAGAAAGAGAATTTAAATGAGAGGAGTATGAACATTTGGAGCTCAAAAATAAAAGTGCTGGCGAAAAGGGAGGCATAAAGGTTGGTTCCCAGGTTTCTGGCTGTTTACTGGAAATGGGGACTAAACTGGTTTAGGGCAGGACAGGAGGCGGCAGAGCAGGGGGAGGAAGCTGAGAGTCCTGTTGGGACACACATTTGAGAGGCCTATTAGGTATTCAAGTGAAGATATGTGGTGAGAAAGTGATTATGGGGCCTGTCAGGGAAGTCAGAGTTACAAAAAGACAAAAATGTCTCAATCATCAGCATAAAGCTACGAGACTACATAAGAATAAGACCAGGCTGCCGAAACCGGTTTGG